GGCCGAAGGGGCGGTCATGCCCAACCATGCTAGATAGATTATGAGATATGTGTGTTATGTGGTAGTAGTAGGGGGTGAAATAGTCCCCAGTATCCGGTCGAGAGGACCGAAGGGGAGACCGGCACCCATATATGCTAGTCAGTAACCGGTCGAGAGGACCGAAGGGGAGGCAAGCTCCCAGTATGCTAGACAGTATCTGGTCGAGATGACCAAAGGGGTAGGTCGGGCACCCAGATATGCCTGACGATATATGCATGGTATGTGATTGTATGGTATGTGGTACGTTGGGGGAACTCACTAAGCTTCGTGCTTACAGTTTTCAGTTTTTGTTTCAGGTACCTCTTCTTCGAAGGGGAAGGAGCTGGCGCGGTAGCGGTACATCGCACACCTGCTTGTATTCCGCATTATGATATCTTCCTGGGAAATTGTAATCTGACACTTTTATGATTATGACAATGTTTTCCGACGTGCAACATCTTTTGTGAAATGAAATGATGGTTGAATGATTTATTCCTAAATGTTTTGCTAAGTACACATTTTAAAAACGAAATTTTTGGGTCGTATTTTTGGGGTGTTACACAAACACTACCAACATGCTATGAGCATTGGCCTAAGAAACGAAATTAGTTTTAGTAGTTAGGTGATATTTAGAAATGTTTAACAAAATAAATGTAGTTGATTTGGTGAATGAATAATAGAGAATTATATATGAGTATTGTACTATCTTATTCAATTATTTATTCTTGTGTTTCATTTTGCATGTTTTACTTCCTGAATAATTTGAATTATTCAAACCTCCACAGTCGCTCATACTTTTGGAAGTAAGTAGTGAATTAATAATGTCATGAATTGATTGTAGATTGTCGATTGAGGTTAAGAAATTGCAATTGGAATTGCTACAATATTCATGAGTACTTTGAAAATATAAATTTTAAGTATTGGATAAACCCACACTTAGAGATTACTTCATGGATCCTGTCACGAGTAATTCTAAGATGATAATATCTTCTATTCTTCAAATGTAGATACATAAGTTGCAATTTACAAATTGGTTGTATATTGGTGTTGCGTAAACACATCAGTAACTTGATGTTATAAAACATATCATCATATGAAATTTGGTGATTAAAAGTTACAATTATATAGTCGAAGTTTATTCGTTCCTTTTTCCCTAACAGGAAAAGCGATATCATTGGGCCCCTCGACGATTTGATGTTGACATTATAAGTGTTGGGCCCAACCAGGACTAACTGATGTGTTCGATTTAAAATCCAATAAATTCTTTAAAATTTGGGAAATCGAATTTTTTTTTTGGAAAATGAGATTGATTATGATCCATGTCTCGTGTCCATATGATATCTTGAAGAATGAAGGAATAGTTGATCACTTATCTTAGGTCCAATAGTTGCTTTGAATTAGAGTTTGGCAGTAGCTTTGGAAAGCACTCTTTGTTGTTTATTTCAAGGTCTATAAAATTAATTGTAGTTACAGACTTATCCAAGTGGGAGACTGTTGGAATAAGGTGTCGAAGCCAATATTGTTATATTCTTGAAATAGAAGCAGAGTCCTTTTTGGGTTGCCCTAATAATCGATAACTGAATAGAATGACGTGTGGAGAGAGAAGCCGATTTATTAATGTATTAGATGATTAATAAGATGTAACAAATGATATATTAATATATTATATGATTAATATATTAATTATAAATAATAATAATTAATTAAGAATTAATCACAAATTAATTGGGATTAATTTCAAGTTAATTATAATTAATTGGAAGTGCAGGGACTAAGTTGTAATTATTCAATAGTTGAACAAAGTATGGTTTCTATAACCCTCTAAGCATGATTGGTTTTGGGCTAGGGGTTTAAGGTTTCTAGATTAATCCTATTGAATAATTAAGGAGTTGCATAATTACATAATTGAATATATTATTATTATATTGAAATCATGGTTATCCAAGGCTTCCTTATCAACTATAAATAGGATCCTAGGGTCTCTAGTTTTCATCCGCTCCTTCTCAACTCTCAAGAGCTGGAATTTTTCTCTAATCCCCCCTCTCCTCAACTCTTTTAGTTATTAGGGTTTTCGGTACAAGCCATTATAGGCATCCAAGCTTTTTGTGCTTTCTTTCCAAGGAACTACAAGAGGAATCCAGTTGGTTATTTTCTATAATAATAAAGAGGTATGTAACCCTAATCTTTATGTGAATTTCAATTTTCATATTCTCTCTAGGGTTTCTTGATATTCATTTTTTATTGCTATCAATAAAGAAAACATAAATCTAAATTAGGTTGCATGTGAACTTAAGAGTTAAGTGTTTTTCTGCTCATATGTAATTTTTTATAACCTAGTAAACCTATCAATTGTATAGTCTAAAGTAGGCTCCACGAAAGTGGAATGAAAAATTAAGTGATTCTTTGATAAGTTTTGGTTTTAAACAAAGTCTTAATGATTATTCCATGTTTGTGAAAAGTATTAAAAATTTTGTTGTTATTATGTTAGTTTATGTCGGTGATATTGTGGTAACAAGGAATTATGAACTTGAAATTAGTAAAGTAAAGGAGTTTCTTAAGTCTAAATTTCTTATAAAAGATTTAGGGAAATTGAAATATTTTTTGGGTATTGAAGTTATAGAAGTTCAAAATGGGGTTTGTTTATCTCAAAGAAAATACTATTTAGATCTACTTCATGAGTTTGGGATGTTGGGTTGTAAACGGATCAAAACACCACTGGAATCAAATCTTGTTGTTAATGATCATAATGATGTTTTACTTGAAAATATAACTGATTTTCATAAACCTATTGGTAAGGTCGTTTATCTAAGAGTTACTAAACTAGATATTGCCTATTCTATTCAAGTGTTGATTCAATATATGCACAAGCCAAATAAATCTCATTTGCAAGTTGCTTAGAGGTTATTATAATACCTCAAACATAACCATGGTATGGGAGTTTCTTATTTGAAGTCTAAATTTGATTCTATTCTTTTTAGAGGATACTTAAATGCAAATTAGGGTAAATAATTGTTTTCTACAAAATTTGTTAGTGGTTATGTTGTTTATTTTGGTAGTTCTCATGTGTCTTTGAGAAGTAAAAAACAGTCCACCATATCACGTTTATCTATAGAGTCTGAATATAAGGCTCTTGGATCTCTATTATGTGATTTAATTTGGGGTTTGAAGGTTTTATGTGATTTGGTTTTGAAAAATGTTGTTCATGTAAATGTTTTTTGTGACAACGAGTTTGCGATTAAAATAGCCTTAAATCCAGTTTTTCATAATAAAAACAAGCATTTTGAAATTAATGTTCATTTCATAAGGAAATTTTTTCAAAAGGTGTTATAATTTTTTTTTTTAAGATTAGCGCTTCTAATCAAATGGTTAATATTCTCACTAAGTCTCTTGTTTCTTCTCAACATAATGTTTTGTGTGAGAAGTTGTGTTTGCTTGATCATTTTTCTTTAAAATAAATTTGTTTTCAAAATGGTTAGTTTGAGAGGGGTTGTTAAAATTAATAAATGTTTTATGCATTTCAAACTAACATTTTGCGAAGTTGGGATCTTTCTTGTGTTTGTATTTGTTTCTTTTGTGTGCCGGTTGGGTATTATAAAAGTTCAAGGACCAATGTGTGCTTTATTCAAAGTTGTACAGGTTTGTACACGGGTCTTCGGATTTGCCTTGACCCGGTGTATTTAAGTGGTTGGTACTGAGCTTTTGCCTCATTCGAAGAGTTATTTTTCTGATCATTTTCTCCCTGGTCTTCTTCACTTAATTATGTTCATCAGTTTAGGGTCTCTCTTGTGTTTCTCTGATTTTTTTCTTGATCATTGTTAGATTAGGTTGAGTGATATGTTATGAGTGTAGAGTAGGAGATTTGTAGTGAGGTTTCCGGTGTAAGTACATATAAACCTTCTGACTCTTAACCCTCAAATGATATACAAGTTTTTGATGTTGGGAAAATCTTGTTTCTATAATTTTACACATTTCCCCTTTATCTTAATCTTCTTCATCTTTCAACTTTTCACATATTCGAGACACAACTAGAAAGTATATTCTCAATCTACTTCAACTTCATTCCTCAACCTATATCTTAACAATGTTTCAATGTTTTCCTTTCCAACTTGATAGAAAAAAGAATATGTTAATCATTATTATTGATCTAATTAGTATTTATATAAAAATGGAAAGAAAGATGATTAATTAAAAATAATCCTAGGAGAACCTGACTCGAATGACATTCATAGATGCTCTCATTTTGTTATTCATCGTTACATCAAAATTTTAAATCTAGTAGAAGACATGGAAAAGTAAAAATGGTTAAGAAACTACTCAAACTTAGAACAACCCATATAATTTAATCCAAAAATCAACAAATTACAGTTGAAAGAATGGGTTTTATATTGCAAGAACATATCTCTTAAGCACACTACACTAACCTAATGTTGTTTATGCAATCAAACATTGTTGATTTTTGATTTCATTTCATATATATTTTTTTTTTCTGGATTTTCACCTTCGATAAGAACACATCACCGAGTTATTAATATAGAACACATCACCAAGTGTTTTTGGAAATTAATTAAAGAAAACTCAAAGCATTTTTTTGAGTGTAGTTATTCTTTGTTTTGTAATTTTTAATTTCCGGTCATAAAACTAGAAGTTAACAAGCACCTAAACCAGACGACATGATTACTTGGTTACGATGGACTTATGGACGTTAATAATGATTTGTTTTAGTATTAGTTTTATTTTTGAGTTTTGGTTAAATTTGATTTACTTTTAGGTTTAAGAATGATGGAGATTGATCATTTATTTAGGTTTTAGTAGTAAGTAAGATGCCGATAAATCTTTAACATGATCAATGAACTTGAAACAAAGTTTGGCTTCATGGACTATTTATGCATTAAATAAAACATATGGACTAAATTCTTAACATTTAACATCACAGGGACTAAACTTGTAAACTACCCAGAAAATAGTCTCTTTGCCGGGGCTTCGGCCTCTTTCCCCAAAAAAAAAATAGTCCTTTTAAAAATAGTCTCATACCATAACCCCTTACAGGCTATAATCTAAACCCTAACACTCGCTCCGAAACCAGAGAGGAAGAAGCTTCAATCAACAATGGCTAATCGACGACGTTTTCAAACCCTAACCCAACAGCTTTACAAATCAACACTTCATCGGGATCCTCCGTCACTCCTTCAGCACCTCAGAACACTGACGCAGATCCCAAATTTGCCTAAAAACTCCTTCCACCCTAAATCCCACTACACTCTTTCGACCCCTAATTTCTATTCCTCATCAACAAATTTCACGACATATCGCCATTTCTCGTCTGATAGACACGATAACAGTGATAACAACGATGAAAGTGAAGAAGATGATAGTGATTATGACGATGACGATGACGATGTTGACGATGATGAAATGACGGAGGATTCAGCAAATCATGCTGTAAAGAGAGAGTATTCGCCGGAGGAGAAAGAAGCCGAGGCGGCTGCCATTGGGTATAAGGTGATTGGGCAGCTCCAGCGGTCAGACCGGGTTTTTAAGTCGTATGAACCTGTTTTTGCTGTTATTCAGGTAATATTTAGCTCTCAAATTTTAAGATTTGATGATACAATGTGGTTTAATAGTGTGTTAGTCTTGAAATATTAGTTCTAGATGTCAATTTTGGCTAGAAATATACAGTATTATGCTTAGCAAATAGCAATGAAGAAGCTATTTCAGAACAAAAAAGTTTAAATCTGCTCTTGCTATTGATCCCTTACAATTCAAATTGTGACTCTGCAAATGTAACCAATGACATTCTTATTTTAGCATTACAGAACTAGTTTTATTAATGATCTTGTTCATCTAATATAGATAATAATAATAAGAGCTTCATTAGCCTATTCCCTGACTTAAAGATTAAGTTAAGTCTTAACTTTTCCACACACTTGCACTTAAAGTCAATGGACCTATCTACATTGTTGATGATTGTATTGGTGTCAATTGAAAATATTCCTTTTTAAATGTAATGAGTTGTTTGTATTGCTGTAGATTGGATCACATCAGTTCAAAGTGAGCAATGGGGGATTGCATATATACAGAGAAATTGAAGTTCTGTGAAGTGCATGATAAGGTTAGCTAACCTTAATTCTTAATATTTGTTCATTTATCTTTTATAGTTCTATATATTAAAGTATTAAAAAAAATGCTTAATTGGGTATTTGTTCAAATGATTTTCAATATACAAGCCCTTTTGCAAAGGTTTCCCATATGTTTTTCTTCTTTAGGGATTATGTCTATAATATTTATTTTGAACATCTATAATAGTTGTCTTTTTTGTTACAATAATTATACGAAGTCAAATTGTTTAAATGTAATCCAATTTTTTTTGTTGCAGTTAATTTTAAATAAGGTTCTGATGCTGGGTTCCAAGACTCAAACAATGATTGGTCGACCTGTTTTACCTGAGGCCACTGTTCATGCTGTTGTGGAAGAGCATGTAAGAATCATAATAAATCCATTTTTTTAAATAATAATAATAGTTTTTATATTTTCATTTAGAAAAATCAAATTTCATTTTTTTACGTGTCATGACAGGCTTTGGATGCAAAAGTAATCATATTTAAGAAAAAGAGAAGAAAGAATTATCGCCGAACAAAAGGTCATAGACAGGTAAACCCAAATCATTTCACAATTTTCTGCTTCTAAATATGTTTTTCGTTTTTTATTTTTTAATAAAAATGATAATGTTTTTAGGAATTGACAAAGCTAAGGATAACTGATATACAAGGAATCGAAAAGCCAGAAATACCAACTCCTGAAAAGGCTGCTACAAAGAAAGTAGAAAAGGCGGCGGTTGCTGCATAGGATGAAGTTTGTTGATGTTTTTTTTTTGTCATTAGATTGTTTTAATTAGAATTCTCTTTTTTATATTTTTTCCAATGATCCTTAAAATTCACAAACCAATGTGGGGACCACACTCACTAAGGATGAACAAAACATTCTTATAAGGGTGTGGATAAGTCTCTTTCCAAGACACGCTTTAAATCCGTGAGGGCAACAGATCCCATAATCAGTGTTTACCAGTATCAGGATGGGTGACCTGCTTGAAAGTTTGGGTATCTGGTTGCCTAAATCGGACAATATTTTAGTGTGTGTGTGTGTGTTTGGGATGTTACAAAACAAATATATAAGCATCTAATAACTTGTTTTATTAGGAGATATTGCTATTTTTGTATTAAATAAGCAAATACACAGAACTTCATTCTAGAATTAATTTTTCTAAATAGGTTGGTGGAGTCATCTCAATTTGTTATTCATTGATTTTGTTCAAATAAACGCGCATTTTATTTTTAAAAATAATGATTTTCACATTGTTTGAAAAAGATTATTATATCCATGTAAAATGTCATTTTGCACTATCCTTTTTTTTCACCTTTTTTCAAAACCCTTAATGATTAAAATCTCACAGGATTTTTGGTTCAAGTTCGATATATCAAAAGAGTTGACCTTGGAATCTATCATGGAGGATCTCAAAACTACTCTATACAAACTGCCAATGGGCTAAAGTAGAGGCTATTCAACTATCGTTTTGAAGAAAGAAAAGAAAGAACATGAAGTCAAAATGGTCATGTTACGTCAACTTGATCGGTCAAATTATTATTTTTTAAATACAAACTTGTAATTTAGTCAAATAATATACGAGCTTTATTTTTTTATTATTGTGTTATAACTATTTTAGTTTCATTTTAATTAATATATCAAAATTAATATAGTAAGATAACATATAGATAAAGGTGTGTGGGTTCCTTGGCAAAACACATGTTATGTTATGTTTGTTGGATAATATTCTAGCAAGTAGAAATGTGGATAGAATGATAGAAACAATGACATGGCGTTTAGTTAGTTGGTTTTTTTCAAGTCAATATCAAACATCTCCTCACAACTTTGACAGGTGGTTGCATCCACTTCCCTTTGTTGGTTGACCCAAATTTTCAACTTGATCAAGATAAAAACTAGGGAACCTTTTGTTCAACTTTCACTTTTGCTTTGGTCACATAATTCGTATTCACATCAATCGTCTAAATACAACGTAAGTGTAGCTTTAGGGTAAGTAGTGTATATTTGCATAAAAAAATCAGTTAGAACATAATGTTTTAGATTTTAAAAATTCAGAAGTAGTGTATATTTGTCTCAACCACAAATGAAAATTGTACGACTCCTGAAACATATATAGTTGAAGGAGAGAATATAGAAATAGAACTAAACACGATGATGTAGACTTGTAGAGTGCATCATTCAAGTAAGCTAGTTATTTTCTAGTTTATTAAAAAATAATTGACTTTAAAATAGAATAATTGAGTTCTTCAATATTCTAATATGGAGGGTACAACTTCATAGTATTCGTACGAGAGAAATACTTTCTTCTAGAGGGATTTTGGTAGTTACGGTTATGTGTCCTGTCTGTTCGTATTCAGTGGAAATCACCGATCATCTTTTCGCAGGTTGCGCTGCTTTAATGGATATTTGGAGACATATTGCTATTTGGTAGGGTCTTCAACTTCCTGATCAGATTTCTGTTCTTTCTCTTCTCTCTTGGTTTGATGCGGTCATGTTGAGGGCAGGACCACATAAGATTTTTTGATGCAATTGTTATGACTACCTTTTGGTGCATTTGGAATTTCAGAAATGCTACCATATTTGGAATGGTTCACCCTAAAAAAGTTTTGTTTTTTGATGATGTAGTTGATAATGCTTTCTTTTGAATTTTAAATAGATGTAATAAGGCTAAGTTAGGATGGTCTATTTGTGTTCATTATTTTTCATATAATTGTTTGTTCCAGCTCCTTACTAGCTTAATAAAATTCAACCGTTCAAAAAAAAAAAAAAAAGACTTGGAAATGGTTTTTGTCTATTTCTATTTTGTATAATAAATTTGCATACATAACTTTTTTGTTAGAATAAAGTGTTTTTATAAAAATCATCTAAAATACATAATGAAAAAATTGCCCTTGTTCTCATATCTTTATGCAATATCCGTTTCTTGAAATTCGATAGTCAACAATTAATAGTATACATTCAAAATAAAATAATAATCCAATAAGATAATATTTATATTAAAAAAATAATAAATTAAAAGTAATATTTCAATAAATTAATAATTAAAAATAACAAATTACAAAAACTAATAATCCAATAATGTATTATTTAATATGATGTAAATATTATATATTAAAAATAATACTTGTTGATATATAATAATCTAATAAAAAAGAATTGCTCCAACAAAAAGAAATTATAAAAAGAGTCAACTAATAGAAATTAATAATCCAATAAAATAATGTTTCGTAATATGTAATAATCCCATAATACAATATTTATTATGATATAAATATTATATATTAAAAACTATATATACTGATATATAATAACTCAATAAAAAAGAATTACTTTGAAAGAAAATTTTTAAAAAATAATTAACTAAAATAAATTAATAATCCAATAAAACTACATTTAATATAGGAAGAAAATAATAAATTAAAAGTAATAATACAATAAAAAATAATTAAAAATTACAAAAATTAACTAAAAAAATTAATAATCCAATAATATAATATTTATTATGATATAAATATTGTATATTAAAAACTATATGTATTGATATATAATATTTAATAAAAAAAGAATTACTCCAACAAATTTTTTTAAATCAACTAAAATAAATTAATAATGCAATAAAAAAAATATTTATTAATATATAATATTATGTATTAAAAAATATCTATTAATATATAATACTTCATTAAAATAAAAAGAATATATGCAAAAATGGTCCTTATAGTATAGTAAAAGACAAAACTGTGAAAATGATCATTAGGGGTAAAATTGTTATTTTAAGGATCTTAACGGATGAGGGACCAAAACCACAACAAAACTTGTTGAAAATGACCAAATCTGAAACTTTTCAAACGTTTTGACCGTAATCACATAAAATGAGAAACCACAGGGATCATTTTGGCAGTTTTATCATTAGAATAAAACATAATAAAATTGTTAGAATATAGAACATAACTTTTATGTTTCTCAATCATGGAATAACAATTTTACTCAAAGTTAAAATACTTCATAAAACTAGAGACCAAACCGACAGCTGACATACTAAATTAACCAAGAGGATTAAGCACTATCAACCTTAAAAGACGCACTATGTGTCTGTAAGTGGAGCTAGCGAATTCTAAATCGACCAATCAGGGTTTGAGGTAAATTTGAGCATCATTGTCAAGAGTTTTTTTTTTTTTTTTTTTTTTTTCCTAACAGCTAAGCATCAGTGTTAAGTTTTAATTTGAGTTTTTGGTTTGGTTTTCCTTAATCAACCTAAACTAAGAACTATATAAAATATAAATCAAAGTATATACGTATATACTATATACCATACGACTAGACAAATAGACAAATAACATAAAAGCCCAATGGCCCATTGGAACCCAATCCATATTGAAATTAAAATACCAATTGTTAAATCTGAAATCTTTGACCATTTTTGCAAGTATAGCAAGGAGGGAAAGTATATATTAATAGGTAGTCATGATTATCAAGTAGGTGGTTTTGATGGATTGGCTACAAATAAAATGGAAACCTTTATGGATTTATATTCCCAAATATTCTCATACTTCCTCAAATAAGAAATACAATCAGCACTATGATAATTGCGAAGTGAGCTACTGTAATGCAACTGACTATTGGAGCATATAACAACCCTTTTTTAACACTAAGTGGAGTAACTTTTATTCCCAACCATCTGCTTCTCAAACACTTTTTCTTGGAAGCTCCTTTGAGTGCTTACACTTTGTATAAAATGCTTTGTTTAGGTGGTAGTGGACTTCCTTGTCATAATAGTCTTTCCACTTTGCTAAGCATTACCTACATCTTCAATAATTCACCATCAAAGATATATATTTAATGAATATAGTAACACTATGCTACAAGCAATGGCCTCCAAATACCCCTTGAGCTTTCTTTGAATTAAATAACTCCTTGCCTACCCCACTTAACAGTAAAAATATATAAGTCTAGATCTTGAACTGTTGCTATTTTAGTTTTTTTAATTCTCTTTTGTTGCTCTTCTCCTGTAGCATGTAGCCATCTTGTGTGGCCCTTCTTTTGGTTATTGTTGTTGAGTGTTTACTTTTGCTGAATGTATTTCGGCTAAATGATGTGCACATTCCACTATTAGAGATGCGTATGTTAAGGTCTATATGTTTCAAGGTTTAACATATGTGGTTTAATTGGATTTGGGATGTTATTTGTTTGCTTAAATAAATTGAAATATGACTTTCCCTAGCGATAAAAGGTAAAGAATTTATAAATGCGATCTACATTGTGATTTACCTTACCAATGTTGGCTGTGGGACCGGTTGTTAGGCATATATCCTTTTAGATTATACTGTGGTCTGATTCCTCTTGTTGATCATCGGTGAATCTAGGGTACCTTAAGCGAGTGGAGGAAGTCACAAACATGGTGGGACCCTCCAAAAAGCATACGCTATGGCTCGTATGTGAGACATTCAAATTTTCGCTTTCTTTCATTCCTACTCGTGTACGCTACTCCCCTAAATGGTCACTTATCTTAGGGACCATGATGGATAAGATGGATTGTGGTTGTGCATGTCAATGATATCTTGTTAATGCCTACAACTTTCTTAATCTTGGATTATCCATAAAAGGGCAAGAATAGAATGACAACTTAAAGTCATCAATTGCTAGACCATTAGTTTCCCAAGTTGTAAAGTGGAAAGCGTTGGTGGTTTCTTAATATACTTAAATTGCTAGGGCTGACCTATGATGCTGACATTTTGTTGTGAGACATACATAATTGACTTCAACTATTTGGCGTTGATTAACAAAAAAAAATGGAGTGTAAAACATCACTATTTTATAAGTTAATTGATAGAATTACGTCCAAGGAATAAAATATTAGCATATTAAGAGCATATATCTTAGCTTAATGCCAAATTTAGTACAGATTCTTCTTTGCAGTCTTATTAATCGAGTTTGAGGCTGTGCTTTGGGAGATCATTCTCATTTTGAACTTCTTTAATTGCTTACTTGACATGATTTGGTAAATGGTTTCAAATCATCGGCAACATGAGTTATGTAGAAAAGTAGACGGTTTAAGGCTTTGAGTCCTTTGACGTATTACGTATATGATGAATAGTGGTCAAAGGCATTATACTACATAGCAAAGTATGAGAGATAGACCTCCAAATTTATTGCAAATGAATTGCAAGCTGTTCTTTTTTCGATATTAGTAGTCTTAACAAAGCTAGACCTTTAAATTGGTTAAATTGGTATAGGAATTTGTCCTTTGACATGTCTTTTTATCTTCTTGCTAGCTCCTTCTATTACTCAACGGAGTTTTGACTTTTTTGGTCATCGAAGTATCAAAATTGACTCTATTTAGTTACCGAATATATTATATTAAATTGGACCCAAAAGTCTTATTTTTGGCTCGATTTGCCCCTGCGACTTGCTGTAGTCGGTTACCCGGTTTTACTGTCTCCGTGACATGTTAAATTGGTCCGTGAAATTCATACTAAATTAGACTCGAACTTCAATTTTATTATTTTATTTATTTTGTTAAAGCTAAACTCAATTTTATGTTTCTTTTTTAAGTTTGTTATTTTTATTTTTATTTTTATTTTTTGG